CAAGTGACAGTTCAGACACAGATGAAAGTGTCAGTGAAGATGAATTTCATGGTTTTGAGGAGTGTGTGACTGAAAGCAATTCCCAGGAAATCAACCAGAATGAAGGAAGAAGGAAGAGACGAGATGAAGGAAGGAAGAAAGGAAGAGATGAGAGGAAGGAAGGAAGAAAGGAAGAGATGAGAGGAAGGAAGGAAGAAAGGAAGAGATGAGAGGAATGAGGGATGGAAGGAAGGAGGGAAGGGAGGAAGGAAGGAAGGAAGGAGGGAAGAAAGAAAGGAAGGAGACCATCAACCTAGGATAACTAAAAAAATTCAGACAGTGATTTATTTCCATGTGTGTTGGTGGGGTGGGGAGGAAGGGATGGATGTTGACAGGCAGTGAGGGTGGCGAGTGGTGGTATTGTTTGTCACTGTGACACTAATTAGGCCAGTGACTCAGCATATTTACAAGTCCACCCCCACACAACAACTACAAGCTTTACAGAAGCTGTAGCAGTACTGGGAAGTGTCCAGTGACTTTATATGTGTATATATGTGATAGAAAAATAGTAATAAACATAAGTCCACCCCCACACTACTACAAGCTTTCAGAACCTCTTGTAGTTATAGGAACCTGTCCAGTGACTCTATGTGAGTATATGTATGATAGAAAAATAGTAATAAACAACATTCTTTTATTGTTGGTTTGTATAAACATGTTTTGTAAACAATATAATGACAGGAAGTTTGTGCTGTTATTGTGTAGTATACAATGAGTGAATATATACCAAATAGTCTTTATATTGGTCTCAAAGGCCATAAAAATTACTTGAAAAAATAAAATATTACAAAATAAAAGAAAAAAGTAGAAAAAACAAAATAAACTATTACCGGATGACTGGCAGTTGGCGATGTTGCCGTATGCGGTTCAATTTCTGAAAACTTCACGCCTTCATATCTCAGTAAGTATTGATGGCAAAAAAAATTTTTTTAGCCCTTATAATTTAGAAAAAAAAAAAAACTATCTTTTCGCAAGAATTTTTTTTTTTTTTTTTTTTAAATATTTACCGACCCTGACAACAGGTTTGGGAGAGGGCCTGACAACCCTGAAAGGGTTAAATGACAGTCCATTGTAAAACAAACCCTGCAGCACGCAGTTCATAATGAGGAAAAAAACTGATAACCATGTTTTTTTTATTAAATCAGCAACTTTGCAGTGTAATTTTCGTATGTTTTATACAGTTGTATTTACTGTTTCTTGGTTTCATTTGATAGAATTGATGATATACTATAGAAATAGAGATGATTTTGATAGGTTTTAGTACTGACAACAGCTTGAAACTGAGCTCAAAATAGCAGAAATGTTTGAATTTTTCCGATGTTCAAGAGGAAATAAATGATGCCACGCATCTAATACACGTCAGCTGGTGGGTCTGTTATATGTTCACGAATGTGCTGATATTATTTATACAATTATTGCAGTATTGCATAAGAGTAAATCTATATTTTGGTGTGAATAAAAATTATGTGAATAATAAATCAAAGTGGAATTCATTTGTAAAACCTGGAAATATAACTAATAAGCACAGGATATTTATTTATTTATTTATTATTTATTTATTTAGAAATTTTAGCATACATACAGAGGTACAAAAAAAATACAGGTAAGAGCAGCATGCCAAGCCACTTATATGCATAGCATTACGGGCTGGCTTAAAATTAACTTAAGATTAACTAAGCATTGATGAAATCAGTGATAAGACATTATTGTAAACAGATAACTATAAAGCACAAATGAGTATTACAAAGACAGGTCATATGGTTGCATGCATTGCTGTTCATTCAGTAGAATGGAGTATTCTGTTAGGTAGTGTATTTAAAAAAATAACAAAGTTAGATTGGGTCCGAGGTTTAACATTTATGTGATATAATTGTGAGTACCATTTTGGATATACAATTTATAAGGTTCAGTTATTCAGTATTTATTTGGTTTTGAGTGAGTAAGTGAACTTTGAGAAGAGACTTGAATTTATAAACAGGTAGTGTTTCTTTTATATTTACAGGTAATGAATTCCAGATTTTAGGGCCTTTATGTGCATTGAGTTTTTGCATAGCGTGAGATGGACACGAGGAACATCAAATGGTGATCTGTGCCTTGTGTTATGGTCATGTGTTCTGTTGAGGTTGGCAAGGAGATGTTTGAGGGGAGGGTTAATATCAGAGTTAAGTGTTCTATGTATGTAATAGGTGCAATAATAAGTATGGATGTTTTGTATGGTGAGTAGGTTGAGTGTTTTGAATATTGATGGAGTGTGTTGCCTGTAGTGAGAATTTGTTATCATTCTAACTGCAGCCTTTTGTTGGGTAATTAGTGGTCTGAGATGGTTAATTGTTGTTGAGCCCCATGCACAAATTCCATAGGTGAGATAGGGGTAAATAAGAGAGTGATAAAGGGCCAGGAGGGCTGACTGTGGAACATAGTACGTATCTTCGATAGTATGCTACAGTCTTGGAAATTTTCTTAGAAATTTGTTGTACATGTGTATGAAATTTGAGTCTATTATCGAGGTGGATTCCTAAGAATTTTCCCTCTGTTAGCTTTGTGATAGGTGATCCGTTTATCGTTATGGTAAGAGGTACATCTGTAGCTCTGTTACCAAACTGAATGAAGTAGGTTTTGTCAATGTTTAGTGTAAGTTTGTTAGTCCTCATCCAGGTAGATATTTTCTGTAATTCGGTGTTTACAGTATTGGCTAGCGTGACTGGGCTCGGGTGAGAGTAGACGTATGTAGTGTCATCTGCAAAAAGTGTGGGTTTGAGTAATTGCGAAGCATTTGGTAGGTCATTTATGTATAGGAGAAAGAGAAGAGGGCCAAGGACACTTCCCTGTGGGACACCAACTGTAATTGGTTGTGCGGAAGACCTTGCCCCATTTGCGTACACATATTGGCTTCTGTTGCTGAGGTAAGACTTGAGGTAGTTGAGGGAGTGCCCTCTAATACCATAGTGTGACAATTTTACGTGGAGCAAGTCATGGTCAACTGTATCAAAAGCTTTACGTAAGTCAATGAAGATCCCAGTGGGACTTCTTTTTTCTCTATTGCAGTGTATATATGTTCTAGCATGTGTATAATAGCATCATTAGTATTTTTATTAGGCCTGAATCCAAATTGGCAGGGGTTAAGAATGTTTTGGGAGATGAGGTAGGAGTAGATTCGTTTATAATTAATTTTTCGAAAATTTTTGAGAGAGGGTGTAAATTGGATATTGGCCTATAGTTATTCAACTCTGTTTGGTCTCCTCCTTTATGGATCGGGGTGACCCTTGCTATTTTGAGAGCTGTAGGGAAGGTGGAGGATTCAATGGATTTGTTAAAGAGTGTTGCAATGATTGGTGATAGTACTTGTGACGCTTTTTTGTATATAAAGGGTGGTAAGGTATTTAAATCTCCTGCCTTGTTTTTCAGTGCATTGATAATAAGGGAGACTTCGTGTGGGTTAGTCGGAGCTAGGAACAGTGTGTTCGGGTAGTTGCCAGTGAGGTATTTTAGTGCCTGGAATGCCTGCATTGTTTATTCTGGACCCTATTTTAAAGTTGGAATATTTTGAACTTTGTGTGAAATTGGCCAAATTACAGATTTCCAATCACTTTATTGGGTAGTTGAAAAAGTTCATGGGGTGATTTCTTGTGCTCAGTTGATAAAATGGAAGTAATACTAGTGAAATAGCTATGAATTTGGTTGACTGGAATAGTATGATTGGCCTAAAATGGGAGTCAAAGTGGGCAAAATCACCAATACATAAATATCGCTGACGCAGCAAAATTTACGATAGTGTAATTTCGTCAGTTTTCCATCAAATTTCTACTTTTTGTTTTATTACTTTCAGAAAAAGATTCTCTACCATTTGATAAGAATTTTTTTTTTATTAATTCTTGGACCCTGTGGACAAGTCTCAGATCGGTGGTTTGGACCCTGAAAGGGTTAAGGATTTGATATGCTGTTGGACCACGAGCAAAGTAACATGAAGGGATTCATGGAAACTGGTTAGCCAGACTTGAGTCCTGGAGGTGGAAAGTACAGTGCCTGCACTATGAAGGTGGTGTGGGATGTTGCAGTTTGGGAGGTCATTTCATTTGTAATGTCAGCACATTTCTGGTAAGACAGCAACTGTCTAGAAATATTCTGACATCACAGCTCTTTGACATCACCATCCCCACTCTTCCTTTAGAGTGCAGGCACAACTCTTCTCACCTGTAGAACAAAAGTCTGGCTAACTAGTTTCCCCTGAGTCATTGGCATTGTAAGGGGGGGGGGGAGTCTGCCCCAGGTGACACCATAGAGCCTTTAAAAGTGACACTAATGCCCAAAACAGTGCTGCAGCAACATAAGAGAAAAATCCTTCATTTCTATATAGCCTCTTATATAGGCCTATATAACTTATATAGGCCTATTTGTAGAGTACAAATAAGCCTATATAGGGAAAATATTGATTTTGATGATGTGATAGATGATTTTTCAGGATTGAAGGCAAGGAAATGTAAGATCAGATTCACTGAAGATCAAATCAGAACTAGTGTTTCTCTGATATTGCAATTTTTTTTTTTTTTGCATTGTTGAAGATGAATAAATGTAGGATCTGTTGCCTGTACTCAAAGTGGTATATAATACTTGAACTGTCCAAATGTATGTAAAAAAAATACGTAGAGCTACGTTCAGAGTGCTACGCGAGTGAACGTAGATCTACGTTTGAACAGTTTGAGGGTTAAGTTCATGTTTCCTCCATATTACTACATTTATTTATTTTATCATTAATAAAGTTGAGGAGTATTCTCCTGTTCGGTTTATGGCCCTTAAACGTTCTCATTGCTAAACATTAGTCAGTGGGCATGCACTAGTGATGTAACTGGAGTTTACTACCCCCCATCCGCCCTTGGATTTCATGGGGGTGATACCAAAGATGTTACCCCGGGTGACATCCACCCTAGCAATGCCACTGCCCTGAGTCCCTTTGTATATATTAAAATTTTTAAATATTTACAGTGTGGTGGACATGAATATGATGGCAGTTGAATGTATATTGGCAGAATTAAAACCAGTATCAAAATATACTAATGGGATGTGGGAGAGTAAAGCTACTGACTGGTTTAAGACCCATGTACAGAATATGAACTTTACTGTTCAGGTAAGTGCAAACTTTTGTGTTTTCATTTCCTTTCATAAACAATGATATATCTGTAAAAGGCATACATGCATTATTACTTATGTACTTACAGTTGTGCTTGCAAAGGTCAGGTTATAGCTCCAGGCCCTCCCTCTTAATTCTCATTTATATATTTTTATTTTATGTCTTTGCAAACAGTACATTGAGATTTTGTATTTACAATAGTGGGTTGCAATGCAAAGAGAGCCTCTGTTATGCCTAGGCATTATGGGCCAACTTAACATTATTGGCTTACAGTCTACTTAATACTAAGGAGTATATCATAGGTGAGACAGTGTGTACTGAGTATTTAGCATTTAGTCTAGGGTGATTAATTGGCTTTTGAGAAGAGTCTTAAATTGATTTTCAGACTGGGTTACTTTAATATCTTCTGGTAATGAATTCCATATTTTGGGGCCCTTTATGTGCATAGAGCTTTTACACAGTGTGATATGGACATGAGATATATCAAAAAGAGATCTGTGTCTTGTGTTGTGGTCATGTGTCCTGTTTAGGTTGGTGAGGAGAAGTTTGAGTGGGGGGTTTATATTTGCGTGTATTCTGTGTATGTAGTAGGCACATGAATAAGTATGAATGTTCTTAATGGTGAGCAGATTCAGACTTTTAAAAATTGGTGGAGTATGCTGGTGGGAGTGGGAATTTATCATTCTTACTGCTGCCTTTTGCTGGGTTATTAGGGGTTTTAGGTGATTGGATGTTGTTGATCTGCATGCACAAATTCCATATGTAAGATAAGGGTATATGAGTGAATGGTAGAGTGCCAGGAGAGCTGATTGTGGAACGTAGTACCTTATCTTTGTTAGTATGCCTACAGTCTTGGAGATTTTTTTGGTGATTTGTTGTATGTGTGTCCGGAATTTAAGGCTACTGTCAAGGTGGATACCTAGGAATTTTCCCTCTGTGAGTCTTGTGACTGATGGTCCATTTAGCATTATGTTAACTGGATCATTTGTAGCTTTGTTTCCAAACTGAATGAAATAGGTTTTATCAGTGTTCAGGGTAAGTGTGTTAGTCATCATCCAGGCAGATATTTTCTCTAATTCAGCATTGACTGTGTTTGCTAGTATGACGGTGTTTGGGTGGGAAAAGACATATGTAGTGTCATTTGCAAATAATATGGGTTTGAGTAGCTGTGATGCATTCGGTAGATCATTGATGTAGATGAGAAAGAGGAGTGGTCCAAGGATGCTTCCTTGTGGGACTCCTACTGTGATTGGTTGGGTGGAAGAGTTTGCATCATTTGCATACACATATTGAGTTCTGTTACTAAGGTATGACTTTAGGTAGTTGAGGGAGTGGCCTCTGATACCATAGTGCATTAATTTGGAGTACAGCAGTTCATGGTCGACTGTATCAAAAGCTTTACGTAAATCAATGGAAATGCCCAACAGGACTTCTTTCTTTTCAAGTGCAGTATATATTAGTTCTAGCATGTGTATGATACCATCATTTGTGCTTTTATTATTTCTGAATCCAAACTGACAAGGGTTTAATATGTTGTGTGAAACGAGGTAGGAATAGATCCGTCTATGAATTAATTTTTCAAAGATTTTAGAGAGCTGTGGTAAGTTAGATATTGGTCTATAGTTATTCAAGTCAGCTTAGTCACCTCCTTTATGGATTGGAGTGACCCTCGCTATTTTGAGGATTGTTGGGAAGGTAGATGATTCAGTGGATTTGTTAAATAGCATTGCAATAATTGGTGACAATACTTGAGAAGCTTTTTTGTACATAAAAGCAGGCAAGTTGTTTATGTCTCCTGCCTTGTTTTTAAGGGTGTTGATGATGAGCGTAACTTCAATGGGGTTGGTTGGAGCTAGGAATAGCGTATCTGGGTAGGTACCTATGAGGTAGCCTGATGGACGAGTGTTTGTGCTTGGTATTTTGTTTGCTAGATTTTTTTCCTATGGTGGAGAAGAAAACATCAAGTCTGCTGTTTTGGTTGGAGTGAGTAGGGGTTCATCTGATTTTGTTAGTTTGATTGCTTTGTTTTTGGATAACTTTTTAGTTCAAATAATTTCAGATTGAGTTTTCCAGGTTTTTTTCATATCACCTTTGATGTTATGTAATCTATTTTCATAATACAATTTTTTTGACCTTCTTATCAGGCTGGTAAGTGCTGACGAGTAACTTTTCGACTGTTCTCTAGTTATTTGACCCATTCTATACTGTTTTTCATATTTGTGCTTTGTGTTAATGGATTTGAGGATGCTTGGTGTTAGCCAGGGATTATTCAGTCTCTTTGCTGTGATCTGTTTAGTTTTTCTGGGGCAATGTCTGTTATAGAGGCATTGGGCTTTTTATAGAAAATTATTTATACATTCATTCATATCTGTATATGTTTCGAGGTCAGTTTGCCAATCAATGTTATTCATAGCTGCTATAAAGTTGTTAACTGCTGTCTCGTTATGCAGTCTGAAGGTTACTTTAGTAATGTCTTGCGCAGTTTGCCCAGATTAGTTATGAGAAAGGTTGGGTAGTGGTCTGTAGTGTAGTCTGGACTAACTGTTAGTTCCAGACTTTGGAACAGAACTTCTCCAGGCTGAGGGACTGACAACCTCAGATCTATGACTTCAAGGATGATGGACTGATTACATCATCTTCACATCTCTACTGCTCCTGCCTACTTTCTGTACTTGACTGAAGAAGCCTACTGTGTAGGTTAAACGTTTCGGAATAAAGTTGCCTATGTGTTACCTACTTACCTAAGCTAATCATCTTCATATGTTACATATCGTGTTATTATATAATTTTGAAAATATATCATGGATGGATTAATGAAAATATGTATACATGTTTTAACGTAATATACGACATTTAATGAGACTCGGTGATTATTATCATTACTAATATGGCGTCTCGAGACATAAGAGACACTGATTTTAATGTGTATCTGCATGCCAGCACTGTGTGTAAGTTTATTTAGGTACAGGTATACATAAGTATAATTATTAGAGTATATATAAAATATGAAATAACTTTTAAAAACCTTTGAAATTTTGAAGTTTTCAGACAAAATGGAGAGACGTAGTGCTTATGGATCTCACATAGAATGTAAACAAACCGGGTGGGGCGCAGTGACTGTATTAGAAAGTCAGGTGGGGGGAGCCGTATAGAGAGTTTTGGTCATAATTTGAAATGAGCGTATTACCGAAATGCCGTAAAGCAAAATGCCGTAAAGCGGGGCCCTACTGTACAGAGAACAAAGCAAAGCTGTTTGTCTTCAGTGCAGATCAGCTACAGTAATTATATGGTGGTAGGAAAGGTATGTACGTGGTGCCTCGGGTTATGAACTTTATTCGTTCCAGAAGGCTGTTCGAGTGCTGATGCCGAACGAATTTGTTCCCTTAAGGAATAACATAAATTAGATTAATCCATTTAAGACCCCCAAAAATATACTTACAAAAGCACTAATAAAAATACATAATTGATCGAGTTGGGAGCTGTTCATATGCCAAGGTACCACTGTATTAGGTAGGCATGGGTGTAATATAATGCCATCTGGACACCTCTAGGCCCCACAGCAGAATGAAGCTCATTGAATTTATATTATGGCAGAAAAGGCCAGATGAGGTCAGTAGCTAATAAAGAGTAGGACTGCAAGATCTAAGACAGTCCCTGGGTAGGGGGACTTAGGCCTACAATCAAGTAAAAAACATAAGCTGCCTATTTAAGAATTTGATGAAAATTATGCAAAAATATATGCATATTTAAAATCATAATAAATAAGAAACAAAATTTTATTTTTTGTGTGTGATTTACATGTATAAAATATTGTTAACCCTTTCAGTGTTGGTGCCATAATATTATGGCTTAGAAGCCAGTGTTGGTCCCTTAATATTATGCCAAAATTCTAGCCGCTTTAAATCTTTTGGAAGAAAGCTGGTAGGCCTTCATAAGTGAGAATGAGTCTGCCTAGTCAGTGTGCATAGCATAAAACAAATCTTGCAGCAAGCAGTGCATAATGAGAAAAAACTGCAACTGTGTTTTTGGTTTAAAACAGTCATTTTCCAGTGTATTTTCATAGGGTATTTATGGTTGTATTCTCGTTTTCTTAGTCTCGTATGATAGAATGGAAGATAGTTTATAGAAATAGAGCTGATTTTGAATGGTTTACCAAATAAAAGTAGCTTGAAATTGAGCTCAAAGTGGCAGAAATGTTTGATATTTGACGATGTTCAAGAGTAAACAAATTACATCAGGTGTCCAGTACATGTCATCTGATGGGTCTGATATGCATTCACGAATACACTAATATTATTTGTACAATTATTACAAATTATGCAGTAGTCTGAATAACAGTAAATCATCTATATATTTTTGAATAAAAATTTAAAATGAAAAGTAAGCACAATACTCTACTAAGCGTAACACTATACTATTCATTCATCCCTACTTCACTTACGCTATTTGTGTCTGGCGATGAACAGCAGCACCCCACCTGAAGCCATTAATCAGAGCAAAAAGCCACAATGAGATTTGTCATGCAATCCAATGCTATACAACATCCCCCCCCCTCTTCAGAAACCTAAACTTACTCACTGTTCAGAACATTCACACCTACTACTGTGCAACCTACATTTACAGAACCATAAATTCCAATATTAACCCTGAAATAACACAATTTCTTGATAATTGTGACAGGAACCCTATTTATTTATTTGTTTATTTAGACATGATACATAACATAAGAAAGGAGGAACGCTGCAGGAGGCCTGCTGGCCCATACTAGGCAGGTCCTTTACAATTCATCCCACTAACAAAACATTTGCCCAACCCAATTTTCAATGCCACCCAAGAAATAAGCTCTGATGTGAAAGTCCCACTCAAATCCAACCCCTCCCACTCATGTACTTATCCAACCTAAATTTGAAACTACTCAAAGTCCCAGCCTCAATAACCCAACTAGGTAGACTGTTCCACTCATCAACTACCCTATTTCCAAACCAATACTTTCCTAT